GCTCTGTAATATAAGGACAGACCAATAAACTGAATCAACGTATGCATACAGCAGTGTGCAAATTTATTAGAACACTTAAACAATTATCAGTTTTTGAGGTTTACTCATAGAATAGTCATTTATTTGCTACAAAAATTGATTTGTAACTATTTCAAATTAATCTTACAGTAAACTATTACAAAATCAGTGCACAAATAATGCTAACATTTGACATCAATAACAGCTTGGAATGTTTGTTGAATTGTGATTATGTATTTTCTCAAAGTATATTGTATTATTTGATTAAATTATTACTGAAGCTGTGTCCAGAAGCTTTCTTCAGCACAGTTTGTACTTTTGTTAAGCATGGAGTCCAACAAATCTCAGATTTGTTCAATGGGATGAAGTTCTGGCGGTCAGTCTACTTGCTGGAGATCTCGTGAGCTTCTTATTTTGCCAAATAAGCGCGACATTTTTTGGAAGTGTGTTTGAGGTCATTATCTTCTTGAACTATTAAATTTTACCGAATCAGTTTATTTTTAGATAATACAGCATGATTAGCTTTTATACAGTCGTATTTATGCTGATCCATAGTTCCATCAATTTTGTGAAGATGGACAATGTCATTCGCAGTTACTGCGTCCAAAACCATCACAGAGCTTCCTGCTGACTTGACTGTTGCCACAACGCAGTCCTTCTGCAACACCTCATTGACTCTTCGACAAACATATACACATCGGTTGGAACCAAACTGTTCAAAGTTAGACTTGCCTGTCCATAGCACAGTGTGCCGTTATTTCGAAGACCAGGATAGATGTTCCTTTACAAAAGCTAGTCTCTTTACTATATTCAGTTTGTGCAGTAAGGGCTTCCTTGCTGCTATTTCCTTCTGTTTTTTTAGGGAAACTCAGTGAGCCGTTTTTCTGATCCCAGTCTTGTCATTGCGTATTTCACAGTGCTTTGGTTAACAGACGATATTAGTTTTTCTTAAACTCCAACTAGCTTAACGTAAAGATTTGACCATGACACTGTCAAAGGGTGTTAATTCTGTCTATTTGAGCACTTTAATGGCAATAACACATTATATTAGCTGTACTTGACAATTCCTAAGAACAATCATCGCTTATATACCTGCATGAAAGTATCAAATTTTTGTTAGTAATAACTAATATAGAAACTAAAGACAATAACTTGAGACAAAGTTACAGCGATTTGCATTTAGATTAGACGTTTTGAATAACTCATAACAATATATAATGTACTTATCATTTGTGACTATGTGTTGTTTTTCTCTTAACATTTTTAAAATGATTAAATGTATAACATACTAAAGTCATGGATCAAGTAATAAGATCAATAATTTGACTATTTTGTTGCTTTTTTTTCAGCATTTTTGATCAAAGTACTTTTATTTCATAAACACAAATCAACATTACAGATGTGATGAAGTATTCTAATAAATTTACGTATATTTGTGTGTGCAACAACGTAAGAATTAAAACTATATTCTAAGATATACTCATAACCTTTCGGATAAGAATAATGCCGCAATAAAAGGAGGAACGCCAGTAATTGTTATGCAGAGTTAAAACTGTATTTCTGACTTGATTGGCTGGGGCAAAAGCAAATTAAACCTAATGTAAAAACAAAGCGAAAAGTAATCTTTATTCACTTGCAATACGAGTCCAAGACAAGTGCAAAAAGATAACAGATAGCTCTTCTCTCCTACTGTTGAGAGGCTGTGGTAGGAAAAAATATGGGTGAGGACTAACGATATTCTCCTGAGACTGAGACAGTTGACCACTATATATATAAAATACTATAACGTCATTTCTCACAGAGTACATGTGCTACCCACGTCATGGTCATCTCACAAGTAAAAATATGGAAGATATAGCATCCAAGTGTTGTAAGTTGACCTCATTAGAGTGTTATATTATGTTAAATCACGTATTCTTCACTAATACCTTCTGTAACAAAGAAAATGTACAGTTTTTAGTATTAAATAACATATCTTTAAGACTGTGGTTTATGTTCTTTTTATCGCATGCAGTAACTTTTCAATATCTGTCTGTTGAATTTCACACTCACCACCAATAGGTTAGTTATAAAAAATAACAAATCATAGCAAGTAATGAACCCGAAAGTTATATTTTGTTTTGTAAGTGATATCTTCAGAATTAGAGATGAATTTATTTCTTCTTTTTTTTTTTGGCAAATTTAACGATAGATTTTGTATTTCCTCTTTACCAATTTTAGTGCCAGAACATTTTAATAAAAGGCTTATATATCTTTTGTTTTAGCCACTCTTCTGGATTAGAATGGTTTCGGAAAATATCGCACTCATAACCTTGAGGTAGGTCTAAGCGAAAGAAATACCTTTGCATATTTCTTCACCACAAATTGATAAGAAAAATTAAAGCAAATTTCGCACACAATAACGCCTTAAAAATTAAAAATACAAATTTTATGAAATCTAATTCCACTGAATATTTTGTATATGAACGTGCTTCAGAAGGTTGCTATACTATTATCGTAA